TTCTTGGCATATTAATTATACTTTTTAAATTTGTTTTAATGATTACCTAGAATTTATAATATTTATTTACAATTATTCCAAGTCTACTTTCAAATAACACTAAACCACAGGTAATGTAAGTTGCTTATAATAACAGAATATTCCTAATTCTTTACTCACGTCCTTATGTCATTGCTGTCATTCATTTCACTTATGCATAAGCATATATCTGTGTCTATTCAACCCCTTTGTTGCTATTGCTACTTTGAACAAACTGCTATCTGTAGCTGAGTTAACAAAAATAAAACTTTTCACTTTACCTTCATTTTTTTCATACTCTGATGCTCTTCCTTTCTTTATGTGTACCTAAGTTTCTGACCTATCGTGTTTTTATTCTCTTTGAAAACTTCTTTTAACAGTCTTGCAAAGCAAATCTATTTGTGGCAAATTTCCTCAATTTTTGTTTGTCTGAGAATGTCTTTATTCCTCCTTCACTTTTGAAGGATAGTTTTACCGTATCAGAATTCTAGGTTAGTGATTTCTTTCTCCTATCACTTTAAACATATTATTCCACTATTTCCTTGCTAGCATCGTTTCTGAGAAGAAGTTGAGTATGCTTCTTATCTTTGCTCCTCTATAAGTAAGATGATTTTTGCCTGTCTTAGGATTGTTTTTTTATCTTTGATTTTCCATAGTTTGGAAATTACATGCCTGCGTGTATTTTGGGGGGGGCATTTGTTGTGCTTGGTGTTCTCTGAGTTTTCCGGATTTGTGGTTAGATGTGTGACATTCATTTGGAAAAATTATCAGTCATTATCGTTTCAAATATTTATTTGGCTCTTTCTTTCTTTCTTCTTGTTCTGTTCTGTTTTGTTTTGTTTTCAGTCTTTGTATTTTTTGCATTTCAGTTTTGGAGCTTTCTATTAATATATCTTCAAGCTTAGAGATTCTTCCTGTATCCAGTCTCCTAATAAGTCTGTCAAAGACGTTCTTTAGCTCCTTTATCTCTAGCATTTCATTTTGCATCTTTCTTAGGATTTTTATTCTCTGCTTACATTGCTCATCTGTTCTTGCATGCTGTCTACTTTAGCCATTAGAATCCTCAGCATATTTATCATAGTTGTTTTAAATTTTCTGTCTGATAATTCCAGCATCCCTGCCATGTCTAGTTCTTATGTTTGCTCTGTCTCTTCAAACTGTGTTTTTTGCTTTTTCAAAAAATATACAAATGTCTTGTATATTTTCCTTGATAGCTGGACATGATGTACTGGATGAAAGGAACTGCAGTAAATAGGCCATTAGTAATATTGTGGTAAGATGTAGATGAGGAGAAGCATTCTATTGTCCTATAATTAGGCCTCAGTCTTTTGATGAGCCTGTGTCCCTAGACTTTGAACTTCACTAGTGGTTCCCAGTTCTCTCTTTCTGTCCCTTAGGGGGATTGGGATGGTTAGGGGTACTGGAATTGGGTCCCTAGGTAAGTTAGGCTCTGATAAATGCCAGCAGTTTAGGCTGTGATAAAAAGCCCAATGGGTTAGGCTGTGGTAAAGTAATTTCTCCCAAGAGCAGGCCTTATTAAGAACAAAATGCCCTGGCACATTTTAAAATCGTTTCTTTCCCCCTAGCTGTGCTGAAAGCAGGAGGGGATTTTTCTCCAGTATTCACTGTGAGGACCTGACAGAGCTCCTAGATGTAAAACACAAGAAACCCAGAGTCCCCACTATGATGAGTTCCTCTAGAGTTTTTAACTCTCATACTTGTCCACATTGAGCTTCCAGCAATTTGTCAATTACCATCAAAGTTTCCTACCCCAGCACTGGTTCCTGATGATGTCTCTGTGTGTAGGTATCTGCTCCAGTAAGTATGACTATCAGAATTCACCTCTCTCTTCTATTTTGAGGGCATCAGTTTGCCCTGTGACCTCACTTCTCTGATACCTTCCTAAGGTGGGGTCTATCCCTTTCTAAGAAGGGTTGTTGACTTTTTAGTTGGTTCAGCTTTTTACTTGTTGTTAGGATAAAGTGATGAATTCTAAGCTCTTTACATGCCAGACAGAAACTGGAAGACTAAGCAATAATTTTAAATAAATAGATTTGTGTCCAATTTTATAGACTATCAAAGACTATAACATAAAGTTTTGACTACTAAGACTGGCAGGAGGCCAGTGGAAGTTTCTGAGTTGGGAGAGGTTTTTTTTTGTTTGTTTGTTTTTTGAGTTGGAGTCTCACTCTGTCACCCAGACTGGAGTGCAGTGGCTGCTCCCGGCCACCGCAGCCTCGACCTGCTGGGCTCCAGCGATCCTTCAGCCTCAGCCTTCCGAGTAGCTGGAATTACAGGCATGCGCTACCACACCTGGCTGATTTTTTGATTTATTGTAGAGATGAGGTCTCGCTGCCAAGGCGGGTCTCGAACCCGCGGGCTCAGGCAATCCACTCACCTCAGCCTCCCAAAGGCGCGGGATTACAGGCTGAGCCACCGAGCCCAGCTTTGGGAGAGGTTTAATGAAAACAGTGCTTCACTGAGGAAAAAAACATTTAAACTGAGGAATGAATAAGAGTTAGCCAGATCCTAGTAAAGGGGGAATTGTTTAGGAGAAGGAAGATGTCAGAGGGCAGGAATAGCCCTGGGTGGCCAGATAAGTCATTATTCAAATCAGGGAGACTCAAAAGTGAAAGGGGACTATTGATGATTATGCTAGGGTGACAGGCATTGACCAATACTTTGCTGGGAAGCCTGACTGTGTTCTTATGCCCACTGCCCAGGAAAACCAATATATTGAAGCAGTCCTTGCTATAGAGATAGAGTTTAATATCATAAAGCAGCTGAGTGAGAAGAACAGGAGGTATTTCTCAAATCTGCCTCCAGTAATTTTACACTGGATTTTTTTTTTTTTTTTAAAGCAGGATTTATTGAGAGGACAGAAAAGCTCCCACAGCGGGAGGGGACCCATAGGCGTTTCCCCAGGCTAGGGTAATTTTTAAGGAATAATTTGGTAGGCAGAGGGCTAGGGAGCAGGCAATGCTGAATGATTTGGGATTAAGTCATGGGGGGGGGGTATGTCACAAAGTCAATTTCTGAGGAGGAGGTTGCAGGACCAGTGGAGTCTGCTTCTTGTTATGTGTCCTGGGTCTGGGTGGGGCTTTGGGTCCATCAGAGTGCAAAATCTGGAAAACATCTCCAGCATTATTCTTAGGTTTTGTAATAGCTGGTATCTATAAAGTAAGTCGCACAACCACCGACTACTGACCCCTAAGTAGTAAGCCATACAGAGGCAGTTTTAGAAGGAAAGTATGCAGGAGGTAGTGTCACTGGAGGGTAGAGTTGCTTGCCTCCTTCAGCCAATCAGACTTCAGGATGCTGTCAAGGAGATCTGTATGACCTTAGGCCCATTGTTTAAGGGAAAATATGTTTATCAACCTCACGGGCAACTAACTTCTCCCCTCCAGAGGGGTCGGGCATGAACATGATCAGTTGCTCTCTATTGAAGTGATTGTGTAAACAGCCATGCAAAGAGGAGGGCAGGCTTGGGAACGACAGATTTATCCATTTCTAACCATAGCTGTAGTTTTGAAAGCTCAGGTCTCTTCCATAGCTTTTACCCCACAGTCCTAAATTAATTATATATAAACAGTGTCATAATCATACTACTTTTGGGAAGCTACAGGAAAGCCTAAATGAAGAGAACAAGGCACATATGATGACTGGGGGGAGGTGGGTGAGGAAGGTAGTTGTAACTGGTAGTTCAAGTTAAGTTGGAGCCAGTGGATCCTGTCACCGTTCCTCATAATCTGATGGCCTTGAGAAGCCACTGAGCAAAGGGATGAGAAGATTAGATTTACATGCTGAAAAAAATCTGTTGGGTAAGGGCAAGACAAGGTGGGGATATCACTTGGGAGGTGATTATGGCTTGGATTAGGGTGGTGGTGGCCATAGAGATAGGTGTTAAGAGATGTTTAAACTTGGTGACGGACTGGTTATAGAGGCAGAGAGGAGAGGAGGTGCCAAGGAGCGTTCCAGGTTTCTGGTTTGTAGACCTGGCTGGATCATAATATCCCTCGCTGACCCAGGGAGCAACAAACAAGGACCAGATTTGGAGGGAAGGCTAGGAGTTCATTATTGAACACATTAAGCTTGAGGTGATGTGTGAAGATGCTTAGTGAGATGCTGGAGATGTCGGTCTGGAAATTAGTGAAGAAATAAAACCTAGAGATTTCATGCTGAGAGTCATTAACTGGCAGATGGTAAGTGAAGCCAAAGAGAAGGCCCAAGACAGAGGCTTAAGGCACACTTGGATACCAGGACAATGAGGAAGTCCCAAAGAAGACTGCAAATGAGTAACCAGAAAGGTAGGAGAAAAATCAGGGGTGTGACATCACAAGAGCCAAGAGAAGAGAGTATTTTAAATAGGAAGAAGTGGTTCACAGTGTAAAATACTGCTAAGAGGTAAGTAAGGTGAGAATTGAAAAATGTCTACTGGATTTAATGACATAGGGACCTTTTGTGTATGTGTGTACATATTCAATTTCAAAGGATCTTATCTCCTTTTATAAAACATTTGAACAGAATGGAAAATAAATAACAAATGTTTTATTTTATCACAAGACTATTTTGCACATTAACTTACATTTTCAACTGTTTAATATTTGGTATGTTATTTTTTCTTTACTTATAAAGAAGTATGGATTTTCTTTTCTTTTTTCTTCTCTCTCTTTTTTTTTGTAGATGAGGGGAGTCTTGCTGGTCCTGAACTCCTGGCCTTAAGTGATCCTCTTCCCTTGGTATCCCAAAGTGCTGAGATTATAGGCCTGAACCACCATGCCCAAAGTGTGGATTTTTAATGGTTAGATATCCCAAGTTAAATAAAGAAATATAGGATTTCCTAAATTAATCCTTTTTTAGTGCTTAATTTGGAGATTCTATATCATACAATACTAATAAGCTCTGTGGTTGGATACCAGAAAGGCACATTTTTTACGAATGTTAGTCCTTTCACCACTGATGCAATTGTCCATCCATTCTAGGCCCAACTCCTCTACACCTGGCCGCACAAGCTTGCTCTTTAGAAACAACCATCTGTCTACTATGTTTCAAAGCTGATTACATGCTTTCTGAAGAAAGAGGCTGGATGCCAATTCACTTTGCGGCTTTCTATGACAATATCTGCATCATTATTGCTCTCTGTAGGAAGGATCCCAGTTTGCTAGAAGCCGAGACAACAACTGAGTAAGTTATACAGCATTGATAAGAATTAAAATTTCTGTGTGGATGCAGTGGCTCACGCCTGTACTCCCAGCACTTTGGGAGGCCAAGGTGGGAGGATTGCTTGAGCCCAAGAGTTCAAGACCAGCCTAGACAGCATATCGAGATCTCAACGCCACAAAAAAATCAATACATTAGCCAGTTGTGGTAGCACGTACATGTAGTCCCAGCTGCTCGGTTGGTTGAGGTGGAAGGATCACCTGACCCAGGAGGTTGAGGCTGCAGTGAGCCATGATGGTGCCACTGTACCCTGTGAGACAGAGTGAGACCTTGACTCTAATCATAAGAATAAGAATAATGGCCATTGCCTTGCTAGAGTCTGGTGTGGCCAAGTGCTCTTTGAGCCATGGCTGTCAGCATGGTTCCTGGTTTTGGTCCCCCTCCCCCCCCTCAGGGAGGTGAATCTTCTCTCTTCCTTCTCTTTCTCTCTCTAATTTACTTTTAAATAAACTTTTCTTTCTTAAAAAGAAAAAAAAAGAATAAGAATAATGCAAATATCTGCTTTTCATAGCTTGACCACTGACCCTAGAGGCATGATTGGGTGATGTGGAAGGTAGGTAAGGCTTACTCTACTGTCCTGTTTTGTCACTGCCTTTTCCTATCACTTATCTTAGAGTTTACAAAAATGAGAGCTTCTATCGGCCTGGTCAAGTTTTCTGAAAGAATAAGGAGCAGTCCCTAGGGAGTTTTTCCTAATCTTGTCCCATAGTACAGTTTCATAGATGAATTTCTCAGGCTAACTGCTTTAACTGCTGAGTGCCCTGGAAAAAGTCTGAGACTAGGGAAGAGAACACATTGCTCTATAGCAGACCCTACATTACCAGGAGGCAGCCCTATGGCCCCAGACCTAGGTGGATAGTCTTTGGGTGACAGGAACAATATCTAGTAGTATTCAGAGGAGACATAGATTCATCAAAAAAGAAGAAAATACATTTGAAAAAAAAATACTTTAGGGTAGAAGTATAAAACATCTCAAAGGTACATTCTATGCTAGAGGTCTAAAGGCCAAGTCATTATTTTGAATATATGAACCTGATTTAGGCAAAGTTTCATTCAGAATTTTCTAGGTCTTCAAATAACCTGGCCGTTATTATCCAGTGGTCTAGGGCTGGTATAGCAGCTTGTCACTTTAAGGGTACATCAGCTTCCTCTCATTGCTTCTTAATGTGTGATTTCATGTCATGGTACAAAGTGGCCATGCCTGTTTCCATTACCGTACTGGCATTCTAGCTGTGAGAAGAGAGAGAACAAGAGTATCGTTCACTCCTTTCTCTTTGGATGGTTGCCCATGTAACTTCCCTTAACATCCCATTGGCCATACTTGGTTGTTTGCCACACCTATCCATAGGGGAAGCTGGGAAATGTAATATGGGAGTTGTTGTAAGGATTAGATAGGATCATGTTTTTTTTTTCTTGAGTTGTAGTCTCACTCTGTCACCCAGGCTAGAGGGCAGTGGCACAATCACCACTTACCACAGCCTCCAACTCTTGGGTTCAGCAATCCTCTCACCTCAGCCTCCTGAGCAGCTGGGACTACAAGCATGTGCTACCATACCCAGCTAATTTTTTTATTTTTAGTAGATGTGAAGTCTTCCTATGTTGCCCAGGCTGGTCTCAAACTTCTGGGCTCAAGCAATCCTCTTGGCTTGGCCTCCCAAAGTCCTGAGATTACAACTGTGAGCCACCGCACCCAGCCAGGATAGTGCATTCTAAGAACTTTGTGCATTATCAGCTGCCAAACAAATGAGAAGGCATGATACTTAAGCTGGAGAAGAGTGTGGGGACCAAACTAAGAACAGCAAGTCAAGGGTGGCAAATCCATTTATGTGTGGAATCTACAAGGGGCGAATTAATAAGGAAAGGCGATGGGTAAGTCAGTCCGATTTCCTCCAACAGCAGTGTGAGTAGTTTCACAAAAACTGAATGTGACCCCATACGTGCGCTCAGTGGTGATAACATGTCCCTTGGTCTTTAGGAGTCAGTGCACCCCGCTGCTACTTGCCGCCACCTCAGGAGCTCTGGACACTATTCAGTACCTGTTTTCTCTTGGTGCTAACTGGAGAAAAACAGATACAAAAGGAAATAACATAGTTCATTTGTCAGTGCTGACCTTTCATACAGAGGTTCTCAAGCATATCATAGAGCTAAATATTCCTGAACTCCCCGTGTGGAAAACTTTGGTAGGTGAGTATAGAACACATGCTTTTTTGGTAAATGAATGCTCTAGCTACTATTCAGTTTAATTATTGATACTCTAAAATAGAGCAAATAAAATCACATTTTTAACATTTGAAAATCATAAAATAAACAACTTAAGACTTAAAACCAGAATAAAATAATAAAGAGCTGTTTATTTTTTCTGTGTGTGCCAAAGTAGTCTTATTTTTTATTTATTTATTTTTAGAGACATGGTCTTACTCTGTCTCCCAGGCTGGAGTGCCGTGGCGCGATCACGGCTCATTGCAGTTTCCAACTCCTGGGGTCAAGCAGTCCTCCTGCCTCAGTCTCTCAAATTGTTGGAATTATGGGCGTGAGCCATTACACCTGGCCAAGTAGTTTTATTTCTGAGTTAAAATCAAAGATGTGTGACTCAGGCTACTGGGGGGACCCAGAAAAATCCGGAATTATCTTTTGGAGAGTGGACCCCTTGTAGTACACTCAGAATTCATTCCTCCAGATCCCTCAGCAGTCAACCAAAGTTTTATCTGGAAGTTTTGAGAAGATTTCATCACGATTTGCAAAAGAAACATCCCAAGCTGTGGCAAACAGCACCTTCCACCATGACAGCACACCTGCCCACACCACACTGAATGGTCAACAATTCTTGACCAGAAAGGGCATGACCCTCGTGTCCCATGCTCCCTATGCACCCAATCTCTCAACTCAAGCGACTTTTTCGTGTTTGTTTCCCGTATTAAAAAAAAAAAATCCTCAAAGGGAAACATTTTGCCGATTTGGAAGAGGTGAAACAAAAACCAGCAAAAGCACTAAAAGGCATCAAATTTGATGCACTTAAAAACTGTTTACAGTAGTGGATAGAGTCTCAATAGGTGTACTGCATCAGATGGAGAGTACTTTGAAGGTGACTGAAATTTAAACATGTAAGAATAAAAATACAATTTTTTCTAAATTCTGGAATTTTTTGGCTTCCCCAGTATATTTTACCTAATTATATTTATTTTCCCATTTTCTCCAAATTTCAACCATTTCCTCCTCCATCAAAAAAGTGAATTAAAACAAAAACAAAAATAAAAACAAAAAAAACAAGCCGGGCTCGGTGACTCAGCCTGTAATCCCACGCCTTTGGGAGGCTGAGGAGAGTGGATTGCCTGAGCCCGCGGGTTCAAGACCTGCCTGGGCAGCAAGACCTCATCTCTACAATGAATCAAAAAATCAGCCAGGCGTGGTAGCGCGCGCCTGTAATTCCGGCTACTCGGAAGGCTGAGGCAGAAGGATCGCCGGAGCCCAGCAGGTCGAGGCTGCGGTAGCCCAGAGTGGACACTGCACTCCAGTCTGGGCGACAGAGTGAGACTCCAACTCAAAAAAAAAAAAAAAAAGCAAGCAAACAAACACAAAACAGACCAGGCACAATGGCTCATGCCTATAATCCCAGTATTTTAGGAGGCTGAAGTGGGAGGATTGCTTGAACCCAGTAATTCAAGACCAGCCTGGGCAATATAGCAAGATCCTATCTCTATAAAAAATTTAAAACTTAGCCTTGTTTGGTGAAACATGGCTATAGTCCCAGCTACTTGGGAGGCTGAGACGGAGGATCACTTGAGCCGAGGAATTCCACTGCACTCCAGCCTAGATGACAGAGCTAGACCCTGTTTCTAAAAAAATAAATTTAAAAAATATAAAAAGCTATAAATAATGGAGAAAGAGAAAAAAGAGGAAATAGCAGACCAGTGTTGAGAGAGCTAGTTACCCATTTTTCATAACATGAAGACAATTAATGAAGTCTAAAATCAATATATAAAAACCTAGCAGTGTATGTAAATATGTGGAAATATGGAGATATGTAAGTCACAGAAGCTATAAGAAAAATAATCCAAAGTGATTATATGTGGAGATATTAACACAGAAAACATGAGGTGGGTGGGGTCAGGAACCACTATATTTTGCTATAAGCCTTTTAGTAACATTTAAATCTAAATCATGAGCATGTATTACTTTGATAAAAATAAAAGCTAACTAAAGTAAAAAGAGAAGAGAATTGGAAAATGAGAGCTAATTTTTTTCTAGCTCATTTAGAATGGAAAAAGATATTTCTTATATTTTCAACCTCATTCTACTGATTCAAGAAGTCTGAATAATTGTTTTAAAAACTGGGTCAGTACCTGATCTTAGAATTTACTGGGTACTGGGAATATATTCTGAGTACTATATATCATCCTCAAGAGATGTTGAAAAGCCTTGTCCATGTTTATTTGTGTACACAGACATCACTATGTATTAGTCTTGTTAGGAAGAGGCAAGAGGACCGTCATGTTACTTTTGCTAGACTAAATTGTTGTGAATACCTACTTTAATAGTAGGAGGATCTGCCCCCTAGCAGGAATAGCCTAATGACCCAGAAAACTCCAGATGGCCACCGTTTCCTACTGCCATAGTGGGGAAGTCCTTATAATAACATAAAAAAAACAATTAATAGCATCTGGTCACTGCTGCTTTGCCTTGGGCCCTGGGATAGCTCTCCCTCCTCACTCTGTCCATTTTTACTACGGGCAAAAGAAGAATTTGTTTATTACAAGTCTCAGGAATGACTTCTAGAGTGGAAACTGAATTTTAAAAGAGAGTGCCATGGAGTGATCTAACCAAGGTGGAATCAGGCCAGATTGGTAATGGATAGCTGGGAAAAGAGACATAACTCATCAACAAGGATCCTGCATAATGAACATTTGTATATCTAACCCTGAATTGTGCCCCACATATTTAAAATAAAAAGGTTTTTTTTAAAAAAGAAAAGATACATCTTCATGTTTTTTTCTAGCACCATAGACATTGTTTGGGAGAATGTATATTTGTATTATCTTCTGTCTGGAATACAAATTCATTCAAGTTTTTTTTTTTTTGAGTTGGAGTCACTCCATCACCAGGCTGGAGTGCAGTGGCACACTCACAGCCACCCCGGAGTCAACCTGCTAGACTCCGGTGATCCTTCTGCCTCAGCCTTCCACGTAGCTGGAACTACAGGCATGTGCTACCACACCCAGCTAATTTTTTATTTATTGTAGAGATGAGGGCTTGCCAGGTTGCTTGGGCTGGTCTCGAACCCATAGGCTCAGACAGTCCACTCACCTCGGCCTCTCAAAGTGTTGGGATTACAGGCTGAGCCACCAAGCCTGGCCCATTCAAGATTTTTAAAGCCTCATATCTAATTTAACAGATATTAAATTTTGATTGAAATGCAGTGGTTAGCTTTGCCATTCTTGAAAACCCACATCCAAATTTTATTCAGCAATTGATTTTAGGCAAGAGAGAGTAGTCCTGTTTTCCAAGCCAATCTGAGCCATTCAGATCAAAGATTTAAAATTTTAGGATTTTTTGTTTTGTTTTGTTTTTACTAATTATATAGAATATAAGCCCCAAATATCATGGGCATGTATAATCTCTTCAGCATCTCACAGAGGGCCATGCACAGAGGGGAGTTTAATGCATGTTTTTGGTGGCAATGGTGGTGACCTCAACCTTTGTCTTCACTTGGCCTGTGCAAAAGCAGAATCAATCATCATTGCCTCTTGTGTCAATCACAGCTTGTGTTTTTCTGTTGAATACTTACCAGAAATGTTACTGTGTGAAAGTTACAAACGAAGGATGATGGCTGTCATGTCCTTGGAAGTAATCTGCTTAGCAAATGACAGATACTGGAAACATATTTTGGATGCAGGTAATGGGAAAAAAAATCTATTAACTATCTTTTTCTTACGCTATTTTATAGAGAGGCATATTATATTCAAGTCAATCGCTTAAAAAAATTGTAATTGTAGAGAAAAGTTTTTAGTTGATTTATTTTTCTTTTTTCTAAGATCACTTCCTTTGCCTGTCAACCATATATTTTATTTTCCACATGAAAGCAGCTCAGAATCAAAAAATGTTTCATTTCTCTAAAAGTTTGCAGACTCAAAAACTGCTATTAAATTATTTTCCCATATTACTCTTACATTTACTTTCATATAGGAATTATTTCTATTATGTAAATTGCACAACTTATTTTTGAAATTAAAAATAGCAGAGTCAGTGTCGTACCTAGTTTGTAATAGCATGGCATTTTGAGACTATCACTACCCAATATAACTTTCTGAAATCATGAGAATGTTCTGTCTGAAAATGTCCAATATGTTAGCCACTGCCCTAATGTGGATATTGAGCACACATGAGATGCTGTATACATATGAAATGAATAAATAAAAATTTATTTGATTATAGTCCCAGAGTGTGTTCCTAAAAACATGTGCAAAATAGTCTATGTTCAAAAAATCAAACTATGGTCTTCTTTCTTTTGAGTCAATGTCTCACTCTGTTGCCCAGGCTGGAGTGCGGTGGCATGATCACGGCACACTGTAGCCTCAACCTCCTGGGTTAAAGTGATTCTTCTGCCTCAGCCTTCCAAAGTAGGTAAGACTACAGTCACATGCCACTGTACCAGCTAATTTTTTTTTTTTTTTTTTGGTAGAGATAAGGTCTTGCTATGTTGCCTAGGCTGGTTTCAAACTCCTGGACTCAAGCAGTCCTCCTTCCTCTGCCTTCCAAAGTGCTGGGATTACAGGCATGAGTCACCACACCCAGTCAAACTATTGACTTAAACAAGTAATGAAGGATGTTTCATTTCAGGTAGCATTTTGTGTGTGTCCTATAATGTGCTTTCCTCTTGTTTCACATTGAACTGACAGTATAACAAGTGTTCAACTGACTCCAGATTTTCCATTTTCACCATGCCTGTTGATGTCCATCATTGGACCAGTTGTAATTAATGAGGCTAATACCAATTTTATTAGGTTCAGCACTTTTTGTTTTTCACTTGCTAGTATAAAATAAAGATAAAATTTTTTTAAATGCTAAAGTAAAAGTACAGCACACTGCTACCCAGAGCTGATACAATAACCAAAACTGAACTCTGCCATGTGATAACTCAAGGAATTTATTTAATAACGATCTTCAGCCCAAATCCAGCCCAAACTGAACTCTGCCATGTGATAACTGAAGGAATTTATTTAATAACGATCTTCAGCCCAAATCCAGCATTTAGAAGATGGTTTAGGATTGCTAATATAAAATGTGTGATTATGGCTTATGTGAAAATCAAATGTATAAACACCAAGAGCTGCCTATACTAAAGATAAGACAGAAAGTTTATTTGTGTCATTTCAAATGATAATTTTAAACATATTTTATAGAATTCTTTGCTCATTATTTGTACTGCAGTACCCATCAACGATATTTAAATATTGTCATGACAAATTGACTACAAGTGGTTACAAATAACTCATGCTATTTTTTTTTTTTTGTCTGTTCATTACAGGTACCATTCCTGCCTTAATCAATCTATTAAAAAGTTCCAAAATAAAATTGCAGTGCAAAACAGTCGGGTTGTTGAGCAATATCTCCACGCACAAAAGCGTGGTGCATGCCTTGGTAGAGGCAGGAGGCATTCCGGCCCTGATCAACCTGCTGGCTTGTGATGAGCCTGAACTGCACTCTCGCTGTGCTGTCATTCTGTTTGATACTGCTCAATGTGAAAACAAGGATGTGATTGCCAAATATGTAAGTTCTTTTTATAGAACATCGTTTTGGTTTTTCTGAGCCAGGGTCTCACTCTGTTGCCCAAGTTGGAGTGCAGTGGCACCATCATGACCTACCACAGTCTCTGTCTCCTGTGCTCAGGTGATCCTTGTGCCTCACTACAGGCCCGCACCACCATGTCCAGCTAACTTTTTGATTTTTTTGCAAAGATGAGGTCTTACTTTGTTGCTCAGGCTGGTCTTAAACCCCTGGGCTCTTGCAATCCCCCTGTCTCGGGCTCCCAGGGTGCTGGGATTACAGACATGAGCCACTGTGCCCTGCCAGAACATCATTTTTGACTGAAAGTAATCCCTCATATTGAAGCTGGAAACATAGAAACCCATGTTATTATTATACAGTGACAAAACTCTAAGGGAAGAGAAACACGGGGAATGGGGAGAGAAGGAGAGCCTGATAGAATATACTTTCCTAAGAAGTTACATTTGAGTGCAGCCCTGAGGTAGATAAAGTTTTTTCATATGTTAGTGTGTGGGACAATGTATCCAATTAATCTTACACAGTTTCTTTACTTCTTAGATACTTATTTAATAATACACTTGTAGCCTCAAATTATTTTGGTGTAGAGGAGGCTGCTTAAAAACATATTTGTTGAATACTTACCTTAATGTAAAAGCATAAGATATACTCAAAGTTGTATTGTTATGTAATGTGTAAATGTAAATATGACAGTAGACATTTAATAGACATTTGTTCTTCCTTAAGTAAGCAGATATTTATAGCAAACAAGATTATAGACTTGTGTTTCTAAATAGAGATTGCAATTATTTAAACAAATTCAAATATAATTTGTTGTTGTTGTTGTTGCTTATTTTTAGAATGGAATCCCAGCTCTTATCAGTCTCTTGAAGTTAGACATAGAAGGTGTGTTAGTAAATGTAATGAACTGTATCCGGGTATTATGTATAGGAAATGAAAACAATCAAAGAGCAGTGAGAGACCATAATGGCATCCAACATCTCATCAGGTTTCTGAGTTCCGATTCAGGTGAGCCTCTATGTCTGTTTTTGTTATTTGAGCTTGAGTCTCACTCTGTCATCTAGGCTGGAACATAGGTTTGGACTTATCTTACATGAATATATGTCCTGAATTTGAACAGACATCTGAAAGACATATCTTTGTTTTTCGTTTTTTGTTTGAGTCAGGATCTCACTCTGTCACGCTGACTTAAGTGCAGTGGCATGATCATGGCTCATCGCAACCTCTACCTCCTGGACTCAGGCAATTCTTCATTTTAGCTTCCCAAATATCTGGGACTATAAGTGTGTGCCACCACACTTGGCTAATTTTTTTATTTCTTTCTTTTTTTTTTGAGTTGGAGTCTCACTCTGTCGCCCAGACTGTAGTGTAGTGGCCGCTCCCGGCCACCGCAGCCTTGACCTGCTGGGCTCTGGCATTTTTTGATTTCTTATAGAGATGAGGTATCATTGTGTTGTCTAGACTGGTCTCAAACCCCTGAGTTCAAGCAATCCTCCCGCCTCGGCCTCCCAAAGTGCAGGGATTACAGGCATGGGCCACCATGTTGGGCCAAGACATATCTTTGAATAGACAAATCTAGACACATGTAATGTAAGCCAAATATCTGAAACACTTAAATGTATTTGTTTATTTATTTGTTCATAACCATTAGACTATGTGGGAAACGCTAAATTTAAACTGCTGTGCTTTTAAAAGTAATTGACTCTCAAAGGCATATTTTTAAAAAATGTTTGATTAGATATGTTTATCAATAGAAATATTGGCATGAATACTACAAATAATGCAGAACATATGCCCAGGGTAGTAGATGTCTCCTTGTGATCAATAGTACCCATGTTGATCACAGGTAGCCATTTTGCAAGTTACAACAAGGACTTCAGATATGCTGTTAGATATTTGATATAAAAATCCAGGGTCATTTGGAAGCATTAGGCCAATGATCAATCTCTAAAATGCATCTCAGTACCAAAAGCAGCAGAAGCCACGAAGCAGTTTCTGTAGCTACTGCAGATGGTGTCCTCTCAGGTTCTGCAAGAATAATCTCATTCCAGTTAGCATACATAACTGTAATTTTCAAATCTATGGTTTCCCCTCACATTTGGAGGGAGAAAAAAATTGGCAAAAATTTGTCCCTCTTTTTTTTCCAGCTTCGTTTAGCTTAGGTGTTTCTGTTTCAGTTCCAGGAATAAATATAGAACAAATACATTGGATAAATGTAAATCAATGTTCTGAACCGTGTTACAGAAGGCTTCTTTTTACTATAAAATTTAAAAAAAAATTTTTTTGTTTGAGTTGGAGTCTCACTCTGTCACCCAGGTTGACATACTCACGGCCACTCCAGCCTCAAACTGCTGGCCTCTGGTAATCCTTCTGCCTCAACCTTCCAAGTAGCCGGAACTACAGGTGCATGCTACCACGTCCGGCTAATTTTTGATTTATTGTACAGATGAGATCTTGCCAAGTTGCTCAAACTGCAGGCTCAGGCAGTCCACTAGCCTCAGCCTCCCAAAGTGCTGGGATTACAGGCTGAGCCAACGAGCCTGATCTAAAACTTAAAATTTAAGCAGATATCATCTTCTCAGAGCCTCTGTCATGCAAGGAAATCATTTAAAAGCTCTCTCCCTTTATGACCCACCTGGGCAACTTGGCGAGACCTCATCTCTACAAAAATCAAAAATTAGCCAGGTGTGGTAGCATGCGCCTGTAGTTCCAGTTACTTGGAAAGCTGAGGCCGAAGGATCGCCGGAGCCCAGCAGGTCAAGGCTGTGGTGGCCAGGAGCAGCCACTGCACTCCAGTCTGGGCGACAGAGTGAGACTCCAACTCAAAAAAATAAAAATAAAAAAACTAAAAGCTCTCTCCCTTCATAACAAATCCCTGTGGTCTCTCTGGGCAAGTTTTCTTTCTTTGCTAACAGTGCTCTACTTTATCCTTAAGAATAGCATTAGAGAGGGTCAGTTTTTATGTATATTTTAGCCATATAATTTTTACTTGTTTATAATTATTCTTTACCTTTTTTCTGTGTGTTTTATCTCATTAATTAAAATGTAAAAATAGGGACTAGGCCTTCCCTTTCCATTTTCATTCTTCCAACCCAGATGCTAAGACAAAGCACAAATTGCAGCAATTTCTTGTTTTGTTTTTATTTTATTTTATGTTTAATTTTCGAGTTGTAGAGTACAAGTGAGGATTTGCTACATAAGAAAGTTGCATGCAGGTGAAGTTTGGGCTTCTAGCTGGCCTTCTCTCCCCCGATAGTGGACCAGTTCCCCCAGTGTGTTGCTGTGTGTCCTCCATTCCTCCTCCCTCCCTCCTTCTATTAGCAGTGTCCAGCATCTACTGAACCCAACCTTGTGCTCCTGACCAGTGATAAGGACCCACTGATGAATCAGAACATGTGGTATTCAGTCCTTTGTTTCTATGATGGCTCACTTAGTATGATACTCTCCACCTGCGTCCATGTTGCTGTGAAGGCTATGATTTTGTTTTTCTTTATGGCTGTATATGTACCATATTTTCTTTATCCAGTCAACTTTTGATGGGCATCTGGGTTGGTTACATGTTTTTGCTATTGTGAAAAGTGCTGTAGCAGCAATTTGAAAAACCAAAATGATAAATGAATTAATGAAAGAAAGCTTATAGAAAATACAGGAAGTCCCCAACATATGAACAAGTTCTGTTCCACGTTTGTAAATTCAATTTAAGTCTAACAAAGTTAGCCTCGTTACCCAATTTACACAATCAGCCAGCTACATAGTGTTCTATGTACTTAATAGGCTACACTGACACCTGATGGAGAGAAATAACACATTAAAAAACACAGGTGTGCATCCTTAGAATTCGTAACTTGAAGGCTCGTATGTAGAGAAATTACTGTAAAATATAAGGATAGTTTATTTGGGGGCTCTTATCTGAAACCTAAATAAAATTAATTTTCCTAGATTGTAATCGATATCATCCCCTAACTCTAGGAAATAGAATTAACTTAACTTTAGTTGAACCCACTTATATAATTTAGTGCTCCAATAAATACTTCTCCTGGATGTGAGCTGGGTTAATAAGTTGCAGGAGATCACAAAGAAATGTTATAAATTCCAGTATCTTCTAACCATTCTGACAGAACGATTTTAAGGTTTCATGAATTAAGTTAAAATGGCACCAAAGTAGGCTCACATAGATTTGTGAAACCATGGATTTGTCAACATGTCCTTAGCCTGGACCTCTGTCTCCAGAGATTCCTTGAGCCTACTCTTGCTGAGGTAGGTTTGCCTTAGGCCTTTGTCTCACCTATCTTCAGCTGCTTGTATTCCCACTCTCACACACATACATCCTCATGTGGAGGAACACATGCTTTTCTTCCTGCAGTGCTTCTGGTTTCGTATGGTATGCAACTGTCCTGTTTCATGTTATTAATAAAAGTATATGACACTACCATGGAAACTCAAATATTTAACAGGAGCATATAAAATGCTTTTTCCATTTTAAACTGTCTGAGAAAAACATCATGATCACCTCATTATCTTCCTTAGAATGATTATTCACACATTTCACTTCAGAAATGTGTTTTCTCCAGACCTCATGGGATTTTGTGTAATATAGAGTATATGTATTCATTACCTTCTAAAATCTGAAAACTTTGGAATTATGGCCCCAAGAGTTCTAGATAAAGGCTATCTTCACTACGAGTTTTCCTCTAGCCAACTCTTAGAGTTCCTCAAGCTTCTTTTCTTGTCCTGCTGTTTTCTACAGCCTACTTTTCTTATTTACGTTCAAGAACTTCATCAGGGTTATAATTTATTCTTTTCAGTTCTCTGTCCACAGCCCTGAGCTTCAGAACTAGTTTGGATTATTGAAGAGCTAAGTAAAGACACCCCTCTCCTTTGAGAATTTGGGTCTAACTGGAAAATAGGCACAGGAATCAAATAGAGATTTAAAAAAAAAACCAAAAAACTTCTGGCTTATTGCTGAAAACCTTGCTTTAAGAAAACATCAAACAGTGCCAAAAAAAGATCCTAGCCAAGCATTTGCAATAGCTCATTCTTCAAACTAAGAATTTATATAATTCACTATTTCTCTCACGGGGAAGAATACATAAAGAGTAAATGTTTACTCTGAACATTTCTGAGTGAGAGGTGGGGGGAAGAATTTCTACTTACTGTACCGATGCAGGAATATTGGGTCAGAGACAGAATGGTTTCCCTGACTCTTTTAATTGTATTGCTCTATTGTAATTAACATTCTAGCATTACTAGAGTGATCTATCTAAAATGCAAAGTTGATCATATATATCTTTTCTTTCTTTAAATTATTCAATGGCTCTTTGCCACCTAGGATAAAGTCCACATTTCCAGAATGGCTTACAAGCCCTCCTCACTTTCCTACTTTAAGAGGAAATTACTTTCCTGTCACTTCCTATCACTCTTTTTCTCTTATGTTACTCTCAAGTAATACTGAACTTACTGTTATGTCATATATTCTGGAACTTACTGCTATGTCATATACTCTGGTCTTTCAAATTGCTCCACAAGGTCAAGGATCTTGTTTTGTCAGTTCATCATTATATCCCTATCACCTAAGACAGTGTCTGGCAACATAGTAGTTACCGTATAAATATTTGCTGAATAAATAAATGATCAGATGATTACATGAATAAACATTCACAATAAAAATAGTATATTTGATATAAAGTGGATATACAGCCAGGTGTGGTGGCTCACACTTGTAATCCCAGCACTTTGAGAGGCTGAGGCAGGAGGATAGTGAGCCTAGGAGTTTAAGACCAGCCTAGGCAACATAGCGAGAACTTGTCTCTACAAAGATAAAAAATAAAAAATAAATTAGCCAGGTGTGGTGGTGTGCACCTATAGCTCCAGTTATTTGGGAGGTTAGGATGGAAGGATCACCTGAGCCCAGGAGGTTGAAACTGCAGTGAACCATGATTGTGCCACTGCACTCAGCCTGGATGACAGAGTGAGATGCCAAGCCGCCCCCCGCAAAATACCAAAACAAAACAACAACAAAAAATCTTAATAGGGAGAGATAATTAACCTTAGTAAATTGTATATGAAAAAACAAATGCTGGATTATAGAGTGTTTGGAGGATATTGGTAGTTGTGTGAATTCAGCAACAGCTTTCTATTCAATTTTGTTTTTGGAAATATATTAATATTCTATATAATAAAATGATTTAAGTCTACAAAAGTGGGTGAAAGCTAAAAGTGAAATAAGTAAACCCAATTGTATTTCAAATAAATTGCATAACTAGATTTAAAAAGAAAAAAATGAATACAAGTAACTTTTGAACACACTTTAACTATATACCTTTTATCTCTTTGCAAACAAATTGCAAACAGATCTTGAGTTCATTTTAGGGGGTTTGTATTTCAGAGTGACATGGATAGAACAACCCCGAACCCATGTTTAGTATTGTGGAACCGAACAAATGAGTCAATGTGTTGCTATTGTTAGTTCTTGCTGTGAAAAGAAAGGTCCAGGATGTGGGAAGGCAGCAAAGAACTAGGTGGGGTTGACTCGAACCCCCCGAAAAAAACAGAACTATCTTTTGGAGGGCAGACCTCTTGAAAGTACAGGCTTCCCCTGCTAGGTGAGTGTTTTAAGAGCATATCAGTACCAGCTAGCATTGTTGTGAGAAGCTGCATCGGCTTCAGTGAATTTTTTTGGAGATTCTTCCAACACATTTGCCCATTTCATGATGGGTGATTTAGGAGGGCACCTGCTCACACCTTGCAGAGTGTTCAGCAGTTTCGGACCAAAAATGGCATATCCCCTGTGCCCCACTCTCCCTATTCATCTGATCTCACCCCAAGCGACTTTTTTGTTTGTTTGTTTCCCTGGATGAAAAAAATCCTCAAAGGGAAACATTTTGCTGATGTGGAAGAAGTGAAACAAAAAAACAGCAGAAGCACTGAAAGTCCTCAAAATGGACAAGTTCCAAAACTATTCTGAACAGTGGAAAAAGCATTTCAATAGGTGTATTGCATCAAACGGAGAATGCTTTGAAGGTGACTGGAGTTTAAACATGTAAGAATAAATACACAATTTTTGATAAATAAATTTCGGCCAGGTCTGGTGGCTCAAGCCTGTAATCCCAGCACTTTGGGAGGCCCAGGTGAGAGGATTGCCTGAGCCCAGGGGGTTTGAGACCAGCCTAGACAGCTTGGTGAGACCTTGTCTCTACAGTTAAAAAAAAATTAAGCCAGACGTGGCAGTGCATGCCTGTAGTTCCGGCTACTTGGAAGGCTGAGATGGAAGGATCGCCTGAACCCAGCAGGTTGCTGGATGGCCGTGAGCATACCACTGCAGTCCAGCCTGGGCAATGGAGTGAGACTCCAATTCGAAAATAAATAAATAAATAAAATTTAAAATAAGTAAAGAAATTCCAGGGTTTTGGGGGCCCCCCAAATTCCTAGGTATTTTAGCTTTTGGCTGCTATTGTAAATGGAATTGAGTTCTTGATCTGATTCTCAGCTTGGTCATTATTGGTGTATAGCAGTGCTACGTATCCTGAAACGTCACCCAATTCATTTATCAAGTCCAGGAGTCTTTTGCAGGAGATTTTAGGATTCTCTAGGTATAAGATCATATCATCAGCATACAGAGATGGTTTGATTTCTTCTTTTCCAATTTGGATAAACACAAGGACAATTTGAAGAGGCTCTCATTGGCTAAATCTTGGACAACATGAACTTCTTTATAAATAAGGAATTTATTGGGTTATAAACCATGGCATAAAATAGAAATCCGTGACCTCATTCTGACAAAACTGAACAAACAAGGAAACAAATAGAGATTAAGGGAGGGCTCTTCCTTAAAGTGGAATACCAACTGATAAATGTGAAAGGGGTGATAGATTTGAAAAATTAGTATTCTGCAAATATCATAATAGATTATAAATGGTTGTTAAACTTTGGCAAATTTTGATAGGGAGCAAGATATTGCATGTCCTTAAGGGTTTTGCTCCTTACTAGTTGCAAGAGAGAGAGTAGCAACTCTACAGTAGAGACTGGGTGATCAAAATTAACATTTACCATTGAAGGAGGCATGAACATCATGTAACTCCACATAAGATATCCCAAAAAGAACATAACGTCACTCTGCAGATATTCTGGATGGAAGAGCATATCCTGAACCATGAGGAAACATCAAACAAACCCAATCTGGGGAATATTCTCTGAAATAACCCCTATTCAATAAAATTGTCTATGTCATAAAAGACAAAACAAAAACCCTGGCTCCAGATTATAGGAGACAAAAGAGACATAAGTAAATGAAATATGTTCCTGGCCTGGATCCTGTACTGGAAGAAAATAAATGATTCGATAAAAGTATTGCATCTGCTACCTGCCCTATAGTTACATAAGAGGATATCCTTTTTCTTAGTATACACACACTAGAATATTAAGAAAATAAAAGGCCGTGATATGCCAGGTGTGGTAGCCCATGACTGTAATCCCAGCATTTTGAAAGCCTGAGGCTGGAGGATCACTTTAGGCCAGGAGTTTGAGTCCAGTCTGGGCAACATAGTGAGACCTCATCTCCACAAAAAACAAAAGAACAACAACAACAAAAAATTAGCCAGACTTGGTGGCATGTGACTATAGTTCCAGTTACTCAGGAGGCTGAGGCAGGAGAATCGCCTGAGTCTGGGAGGTTGAGGCTACAATGAGCCATGATCGTTCCACTGCACTCCAATCAGGGTGACAGAGTGAGACTCTGATTCCAAAAAAAAAAAAAGAAAAAAGAAAAGGCCATGATATATGTATGCAACATACCCTGAAAATTAGAAAACTATGTGTATAGATATATAAACAGATAAAAATAAATATGGCAATATTTTAAAACATTATAAGTCCAGGTAAAGGTATACAGGAGTTCTCCGACTTATTCTTACATTTCTATAAGTTAAAAAAATGCAACTGGCTAATAAGCATTAGGAAAATGTTTAGACTCCCCAGTAACCAAAAATACAAAATAAAATGAGACTCCTTTGGCTTTCTAATTAGCATAGTTTATGTACTTATTTTTAATGATAATCCTTATACTCAAAGAAATACATTCACATAAATACTCAAATTTTGATTATGGAAGGATAAGATGCTATTATCATTATTGAAAAGAAATTTACCGAGATGTACTAAATCATTCCAGTAATTCCTGGGACTCTATGCTAAGGGAGAAAATTACAAATTGCAAGGAAGCACTTCATATGCCAAAATTTCTCCTGGAATTTTTCAAAACAGTGAAATGTTGAGAATAACATATATTTTCAAAATGTGAAAGGCTAAGAGAATTTGATATATTCATTGATAGAATATCTAGAAGGTGCTAGGTATGATTTTGTAATATGGGAAACTAATGATATGATACACTTTGATATTCTTACTTTTTAAAAGATGTATTTGCCTTGTTCTTTCATTCATTTGCAGATGTGTTGAAGGCTGTGTCTTCTGCTACAATTGCAGAGGTTGGGCGTGACAACACGGAAATTCAGGATGCTATAGCCTTGGAGGGAGCGATTCCTCCTCTGGTGGCTCTTTTTAAAGGGAAGCATATTAGTGTCCAAGTGAAAGGTGCAATGGCTGTGGAGTCCCTGGCAAGCCACAACCCCCTCATACAAAAAGCGTTTCTGGAAAAATCATTAACTAAATACCTTTTAAAACTACTAAAGGTAGAAATTTTATGATTACTGATCATTTTTTCTTGTATCTTTTTCCTTTTTATTTCAATAGTTTTAGAGGTTACAAACAGTTCGAGTGACATGGCTACATTGTACGTGGCAAAGAAGTCTGGGCTTTGAGTGTGCCCCCCACCCCCACTCGTGCACATTGTATCCGACAGGTGATACTTTGTTCCTCCACCCACTGGTCATGTTTCTTAGGTGACATATTCCATTTTGAATTTTGTCAAGTGAATAGAAAACTGAACCCATTCTGGGATAAACATCTTACAAAACATACATTTCTAAAGTGTTCAATAAACGCTCACTGAACAAATGAATTTTTTTTTTTAACTAGGCATTTCAAATAGATGTTAAGGAGCAAGGGGCTGTAGCACTTTGGGCCTTGGCAGGACAAACACTGAAACAACAAAAATACATGGCAGAACAGATCGGATACAACTTTATAATAAATATGCTTTTGTCACCATCAGCTAAAATGCAATATGTTGGTAAGTTATGTTCTACCCATAAGTCTGCATGATGTACAAGAGGATGCTGGTGTATCCCACAGGTCTCTTGTATTTCTTTACCAGGAGGCGAAGCTGTCATAGCTCTAAGTAAGGACAGCAGGATGCATCAAAATCAAATATGTGAAGGAAATGGAATTGCACCGCTGGTTCGCTTACTACGGATCAGTAAGATTGCTGAAGGCACGCTGCTCAGTGTCATCAGAGCAGTGGGATCCATTTGTATTGGTTTGTATGCGTATTTTCAATTTCTTAAATATCTGTAAGAAAAAGAACAGACTTGGGTAGAAAAGAGGAAATTAATCTCCTCCCCTTCTATCCCCACTGTTGGAAGCTTAAACAATATTTAATCGATAAAAGGTTTTTATAATTTTAAAAAAGTTTTTCCAAGACAGTGGTGAGTAAAAGTGGTATAATTAAGACTTTTATATCAGTCTGACTCTTGAAACATGGCTAGACAGGAAAATGAGGACAATAAACCTTGACTATTTTGAACAAAATGAATTTCATTTTTTTATAATCAATATTATTTATTATGATATTGTGGAGTACAGTTAAGGGTTAGGTATGCAAATATGCTTCGTTCAGGCACCCTTGTTGGTAAGAGGTGTCTCCCTGTCCCCAGACAGATATTTACTACCGTTAATCCCATCTCCCTTCCCCTCTGCCCACCATAGTTTCCCACCATTGTCAGTCATTTTCTTATGGTAATATGTTGGATGATCAAGGTCCACTATATGAGTGAGAACATGTGATACTCAGATCTTTGTTTCTGTGAGAGGTCACTCAGTATTATAGAGTCTAATTCCATTCAGGTTGTTGCGAAATTCTGATTTTGTTCTTTTTTTATGCCTGCATAATATTCCGTCGTGTATATGTACCACATTTTTTAAATCCAGTCCTCTTTTGATGGACAGCATGGTTGCTTCCAGGTTCTTGCTATTGTGAACAATGCTCCAATAAACATACGTGTGCAGATATCTTTTTTATAGAGTGATTTGAGTTCTTCAGGGTATATTCCCAGTAGTGGGATTGCAGGGTCATATGGGAGGTCAATATTTAGAGCTTTTAGGAATTGCCACACTGCTTACCACAGAGGATGCACTAGTTTACACTCCCACCAAAAGTGTAGAAGTGTTCCCTTTTTGCCACACCCTCTCCAGCAACTGTTATTTTTTGTTATTGATAATTGCTATTCTGACTGGAGTTAGGTGGTATCTCAGTGTAGTTTTGATTTGCATCTCCCTGATGATTAGTGAGGTTGAACATTTCTTCATGTGTCTGTTTGCTGCTCAGATGTCTTCCTTTGAGAAGTGTCTATTCATATCTTTTGTCCATTTTATAATGGGGGTTGTTTGTTTTTTTCTTTTCAGCACGTTTGAGTTCCCTGTAGATCCAAGATGTTAAGCCTTTGTCAGACCTGGAGTTGGCAAATACTTTTTCCCAGTCTCCCTGCTCTCTTGATGGTTTCTTTGGCTTTGCAGAAGCTTGTCAGTTTAATGAGGTTCCACTTGTCTTCTCTCTTATGGCCTGTGGGTTTTGGGTTTTGTTCAGGAATTGGATGCCAGTTCCAATTTCCATGAGGGTGTGTCCTTCATTTTCTAAGGTTCTTATGGTTTGAGGTTTTACATTTAGGTCTCTGATCCATTTAGAGCTAATTTTTGTGTATGGGGATAGATAGGGGTCCTGTTTCAATCTTCTGCATGTGGTCAGCCAGTTTTCTCAGCACCATTTACTGAATAGGTTCTCCTCTCCCCAGTGGTAGGTGGTGGAGGCTTTGTCGAAGATGAGTTGGTTGAGAAATTGAGGTTTTGCTTCTGGGATCTCAATTCTATTCCCTTGGTCTATATGCCTATTCCTATACCAAACCAAGTTGTTTTGATGATTGTAGCTTTATAGTAAAGTTTGAAGTCTGGTAATATGATACCACCTGCTTTGTTTTTTTTGCTGAGGATTGTTCTGGCTATTCTTGGTCGTTTGTGTTTCCATAGAAATTTCTGTGTTGTTTTTTCTAGGTCTGAGAAGAATGTTGCTGGTAATTTGATGGGTATTGCATTAAATCTGAGGATTGGCTTAGGTAGGATGGACATCTTCACAATGTTGATTCTTTCAATCCATGAGCATGGGATATTTTCCCACTTGTTTGTGTCATCTTTGATTTCTTTGAGCAGAGTTTTGTAGTCTTCACTGTAAAGGTCTTTCACGTTTCTGGTTAGGAAGATGCCAAGGTATTTCATTTTTTTTTTTTTTGGCTATTGTGAATGGAATTGTGCTTTTTATTTGGGTTTCTGTTTGTTTATTATTGGTGTAAAGAAATGCGATTGTCTTTTGCACATTTATTTTATATCCTGAGACTTTGCCAAAGTCCTTTATCAGTGTAAGGAGGTTTTTGACAGATTCTCTTGGGTTTTCAAGGTACACGATCATGTCATCTGCAAAGAGAGATAACTTGACTTCCTCTTTCCCTATTTGGATACCCCTGATTGCCTTCTCTTCTCTGATTGCTCTGGCCAGGACATCCCAAACTATATTGAACAGGAGGGGTGAGGGTGGGCATCCTTGTCTTGTTCCAGTTTTCAGGGGAAATGGTTCCAATTTTTGTCCATTTAGGAGTATGCTGGCTGTGGGTTTCTCGTAGATGGCTTTTACTATTTTGAGGTATGTTCCCCGTATGTCTAGATGTTCAAGGGTTTTTATCAAGAAGGGATGCTGGATTTTATCAAAAGCTTTTTCTGCATCTAATGATATAATC